GAGATTGCCGACGCAAGTAGAACCTACAGTCTTCCTTTGGGTAGACGGAAGAGGAAGCAATAATTTGATGAGATTAAAAACAGCCTACCATTAGTGAACAAAATTCTTAAATCTGGATAAATTGGGAAAAGCCTCGAATTATGAACTCAATAAAAACTTCGTTGTAATTATAACAATGCCAATTTTAGTTTCTAACCTTGTATCAAAAATATTGTCTATCTATTTTGGGCTCATTCTCATTAAGACTAATTCCCATTTAAGTTAATATTTTCCCTGTTTTTCCTACTGTCATTGTTTAATAAATTTTTTTTTATCACATCACATTTTGATTTCACCCACCTCTACCCTCGGAATATTGCCTGATAGATTTGTTTTTTTAGAGTGCCCACAAGGTGTGAATATCACTAACTCTGATGCTGTAACAGAATCCAGAATATTTGATCAAGTTTTGACTTTCAACTGTTCAAATGGCATAAATGGTCTGACGGGAGCTCAGAGATGTGGTGAAGATGGTAAATGGATAGAAGAGCAAGCTTGTCCAGGTAATTTAGGTTTAATATTGTCTATTGTGTATAGTTGGACGAAGATTTATATTTCTAACAAAGTGATCTTTCTTGTTAAGAAGACAATATGGCCTCATTATGATTGTTTTTTAGATTAACTGAGATCTTCAAAGAATGGTCTTCAATATAATATTCAGTCTGTTATAACGCTGTAACGGTTCTTCACTTTTAAAGGTTTAAAACTCCCAACGATATGGACGGGGGTGCGCTTTTGAAGTAAAAAATGATTCAAGTGCCGTTTAAATATTTCTATATAATATTTCATAATGAAAAGTGGTACCAGGTCTCTTGAAGAGTAAGAATACCCTGCATGGCGCCAAACCCGTCATAGCTGTTCAACATATATAACACACAGTACAAATAGGATCGTGCTAACAGAAGAAATTTAAAAAGTTCAAGGACATAACTGTTGAAAATACATTTCTCCAATTAAAAGGGAGGTAATTGACCACAATAATTGATAAATTTTTTAAGAAAACGCCCGAAATCACACCACCATTGTGATGACAAGTTTAAAATTGATCGTTAAACAAAAACATTTGTTATGATAGCAGAAACAAAATTAAATTTCTTAAGTGAGGTTTTGAGTCGATTAGGTAATATACCATTGTAGTAGTAGCTTAGATGTTAAATGCTTCGATCTGGCTAAGAAATCATGGTAGAAAGAACATTCTCTAGACTATCGAACCATTTGTGACACTATACTCCCGTCAGCTGGCTAATGCGCAATGTTTCTGCATATAAAAGGAAAAAATGACGATTGGAAAATCCAAATTTAAGGAGAGGACAGCATGTATATACGGATTATAGTGAAATTAAAGATAGTCGTATGTTATTTTTTGCGAGTGCTTGCATGTACACTGCCTCGATTATATATATATAAAAATCAGAGGCACAGTTGGTACCCATGAGGATATCTACCACTTGCTGATAAATGTGGCCGCCAAATTCAATAAAAATGTTGCGGTGACTATGGTTCTTAATAAAATATGAGAAATTATAATTGACAACAATATAGTCAAATCTTACAGTTTTAGAATGGGTTGAGAAACAAAGGTTTGTATTGATCAGACTATTTAAAGCAACCCTAAATTTTAGTTCTTTTGAATCTTTTCACAATCCTCATTTGCTTGATTCCAAACGACCTGTCTTGGCCTATATAAATTATTTACCATACAATACGATTTATATTTCAGTGGTATACCGGGGTAAATATGTTGGAATTACTACCTTTACCACAGTTCCATCAACCAACTGTACCGAAGCTTGTCTTAAAGTTACACAGTGTAGCTCTTCTTCATCAGCCGGTTCAGGTCGATGCATTCTTTTTGAAGAACCCATTATCTACACCAATAGGCCTAAAACTCTTTCCGAATGCATCCAGTTATGTAAAAATGACACCAAGTGTTTAACATTATCTCATACAGTTGGTTCTTGCTATTTATTTAGTGTCGACTACACCACGATAGAAACTAAATTTGTAATTAGAGATAGTTCAAATGGGGTCATCGTTTCTGGCTTTTAATAACCTCTGACGTCATCATAATAAGATCACGTGGACTAAACTTATTTCATTAAAAATAGATGTTTACTTACGTGTTTTTTGTTTTATGAGAGGGCATTTTTCATAATTTTTCATGACATAATGGGGTTAGTAACATACATAATTACCTAGTTATCGCCCTTACACCGCTCAATAGTAAATAAGGTACTTCCATCACATCACCCAGCACCATAATATAAACAACACAACTCCACCAATTTATCATCCTTTGTCCTAGCTTATCGCAGAAGTGATCGATAGAATGTCAAATTCTATTTAGGCAGGTCGTATTAGTTATAATACTGCTTAATCTGCCAGCTTACCAGACTGAACGAAAGTTTTCAGTCAATGTATTGATTTAAAACCGTCATACGATGGCTGGTTCAGAAATAGAAAGAGACGTACTTCTTCAAATAACTTTAAATGACAAAAAGAGGTTAGGAGGTTCCATGAATTCTGAAAACGAATTGTTCTTGTCCGCAGAAGGTATTGGTGATTTACATTGGTGGATTAGGAATGTAAGTGTTAAAAATGGCAAACTAATACGACAAGAAACCCTTCAGTATTTTTTTTTACCACCGACGCCTCTTTGGAAGGTTGGAGTGTGTATCACAATAATGAAAATATTTCATTCGGTGGCAGATGGTCTGCAGCAGAAAGTCAAAATGACATCAACTTTTTGGAATTATTGGCTATATATTTGAGGTTGAAGTCCTTATTTTCTGATCAGTTAAGTTTACATATTGAAGTTAGATCTGACAATGTTTGTGCAGTTTCTTATGTACAGTCAAGTAACCTAATTTCGTGGAAACCTATTATTCGTGGATTTCCGGAAAGGATTAATAATAGTTTCGAATGTAAATAATATGGGAGGAATGACCTAAAAATTACTAGATGATTTGACCAAAGATATTTAGAATTGGTGTATAGAAAGATAACTATGTTTGCAGTTTTATCCAGGCAAACTACCAGCATAGCTGACTTTTCATCAAGAATATTTACTGATTCCACTGACTGGATGTTAAAGAATAACATATTTATTAGGCTATGAAATCAATTGTTCTGGCCTAGAGATTTGTTTGCGTCTCGTTTGAATTGTCAGTTATCAAAATTATATTCATGGTTCCCTGTGATGCTATTTTCCACTATTTTCACTGATAGGTTAAATTTTAAACAAGATTACTTGAGATCAAGTTAGTGAAGCTATTATTATTGTACCATGTTGGCCTTCTCAACCATGCCTTCCCGTACTTTTGAACTGTTTGGTTTCTTTTCCTCTTAGGATACATCGACACAATTACCTACTAATGATGGCACACAATGGAACATGTCATCCCTTAGCCAAGTCGATGTCTCTAGTTGCAGTGAGTGTATCAGGCGATGTCTCAAAGATAGTGGCATTCCAGGATCAGTTGTCGATGTCCTCATTAGTTCTCGGAGACAAGGCACAAACAAGCAGTATGTCCTGGCATGGAAACAGTGGATTCTTTGGTGTAATTCATTGGGTTTTGATGGTTACCACTAATGCTACAATATCTTGGAAACATGTTGGACTATGGCAAATCTCACAGTGTTATTAATACTCACAAATCTATGTTGCTCCAAACTCTGAAGCTCTTAGTTAATGTGTGGTGTTCAGAGTCCATACTAATAAGTCGGTTTATGAAGGGTGTGTTCAATAGATGTCCAGAAAAACCTAAATATTCTGTAACTTGGGCCTTTCGCACTGATAGCTTTGTCTGTATGGAGGTCATAACAATATCTTATTACCCACTACTTACAATTCAAACAACATAATGATTGGAATGCTAAAATCAAATATTTATATTCACATGTAACTTAACTAAAGTCCATTTAAACAATTCATTTAGCACCTTCCAAAAATCTTAAATGATAAACCACCGTCATATTTGATAAATACCAGAAGTATATTTTCAACTGTAAAGTGTTATTTCTAAATTGGAAAATGATAAGTGCTACTTCTTTCGTGTAATATATTAAGATTTAGGTAATAAGATATTTTACATTTGTTTTTGAATCAGTGTATTAGACAAATCGGTAGAGTATGGATTAATGGCGTAAATTGACCTCCATATGTCTTCAGCTCCAAGATCTCAGACTATGGTAGCATTAAAACTCTCGAACATGTCTCTTTACAATGATCGAATTCGGTTCTGTTTTACACAATTGTTAAAAAACTACGAATCGTCAAGCTATATTCTGAGTTTGCCATGCACACTTTGTTGATTATTTGAGCATTACAAAATCTACAAATAGGGTAGATCAGTTGTTGATTTAATTGAGTACCAATTTGCCTGTCACGACTTACACTGTTGCTCGTTGGCTCAAAGATGTACTTTTATTGTCAGGATTTGATACAAATTTTTATAAGGTCCATTTTTACAGATTAGCATCGGTATCGGCTGCATATTTCAATGGATGTTCAATTCCGGACATATTAAAGGCAGCAGATTGGACATGCTGAAGGTTTGAAACACCACTCATCATTCATATGATTAATGGGAGGCAACTCTAGTCTAATGCGTTAATTGTCACTAATTCTCGATCGTGGACCAGGTTAGGGATTTAGGGTTAGGGGTTTTAGGGTTAGGTATAAGGGGGTAAGAGCCGATACCGGGCCGACTCTCGGAAGCACTGACACAGGCATCATTTTTTTTTACCTTGAGAAGAATTTGAACCCACGGCACATAATGGCCTAGCAGACGACAATCCAACTCGCTAGCGACTGAGCTATTCCACTGCCACAAAAAGACAGTGTTAGAGAGAAGTATTGACGTTTACACAGGTCAAACGTTGTTAACTCCTTCAAGAAGATATCCATATAGCCTGGCACTGGAAAGGGTAGGTAGTAGGGGTGAGAGCCTATTAAACCCCTGCTCCTTGTGTTCTGAATCGATCTTAAGTCTTCGCATATTTTGTAGGTTCAGATTATGTCGGATTATTATTTGGCATGTAAAATTTAACTGTGGTCCAAAACGGAAGTCATTATTTAGCCAATAAGAAAATCCTTGTGCATTACGTCATATTTTTATCTTCCGCTATGTTTCATTTTTCATCCATAGTCATTGAGTCAATCAACATTTCTAGTCTTATTGACCTAACATCAACTAGGCAGGATGATTATTATTTAAAGGGATTATATCATTGTATTAAGCATTCGTTCTTCTGTAATGTATCGGTCTACGCATAATATTAGTCTCAATACGAAAGAATTTACACCGTGGTCAAATGGGAAACTAGTTTCCGTGTGGTCCAGGTCAATCGCAATAGTCATGTCAATATTTTAAGGTTCCATAATCTTGTCTTTTCGTGCATATAAGGATTCAACACCGAATTTCGTCAAAGTTAAAAAAAAACCGGATTTTTTTAATGTCTTAGATGTTTCCTCAGATATTCTACAAAATAATTAAAATTGTTTTGTTTCAATTTTTTTATGAATCCCTCACTTTGACTCATATTTCATGAGTAACCAACTCGACAACGGCGGCAAAATGCGTCACCTATTTTCGTGTACAATGTTGGCGTTTGGTAATAACTGAAATCCGCCATTTTGTATTTGTCAAAGTATACATCAACACATTTTAGCTTGCTTGAAACTACTGGATTCATTTTACTAGCTGACATTGTACACATAACCCATGTTTATCTAAACAAGCAAATGCGGAGGTCACACGAGGTCGCATATGTAAATTTTTAATCCTTTTCGGAAATGCACGAAAAATAGGTTAGGCTAATTGACTGTGCTTATTATTCAATTGTGTCTTTATCACATCATGTCAATTCACTGTATTTTTAGTTAAGTTCATATTGTCGTCATAACCTGTGTCATATGTTTGTCACCTTGGTAGAATTAAGGTTGTCTCCCTTTAATAACGTCTGCTATATGGGAATGTCAGTCATGCAATCTGCTGTCCAATTTTATTATTGTCATATTATTGTCATTTAGAATATCGAAGTCTGTATACTGTTCACCATAGGAAATATATTGGTCAACAATATGTCTAGTCATTTAAGTCATTCAAGTCAGCATTCAAGTCATTTTCTTCCCGAACTGTGTATGAATAGATTAGATATGTCAGCAATCTATTCCATATTACGGGGCACCAGCCTACCACGCCAAATCCGTGCTAGCTGACATTACAGGGGATCAACAACACCTTGTTCTCCCAATTCAACTCACAAACTTAGAGGCAGTATAGACGTATGTCTTCCACAGAGATAGGACAGAATTTAAAAGAATATTTGCGAGTGGTAGGCTTAGTTTACGGATAGCACGATTAGGGGAAATCCTACCACTCAAATGTTTTGTGGAACTGTGTAGCCCGCGTGTGACACGGGGACTTTGTAGAAAATCCGGCAATGTCTTGATGGTAGGGCTATACAAAATATATCGTCTTCTATCGGTGAACTCCCGTTAACACTTAGAACAGGTGGCCATGATACGTTCAAACTTAATACATCTTTTTCTAGACAAAATCTAGAATTCATTACCAAATTTCGTCAAAATTAAAATACGGAAATTTGTTTTATGTCTTAGATGTTTCTTCAGATATTCTATAAAATGATTAAAATTGGTTTGTTTCGATTTTCATTATGAATCCCTCACTTTGACCCGTATTTCAACTCGACAAGTAAATTACAAGTAAATACATTTCAAATGACCTCATCGTTTTACTTTAGTTATAGTCCTTAGAGTGTTCGTAAAAAAAATCCTGCAGACATTTTTTGATACGGCAAAAGGTGCCTGCGCACGGCGTGCGTGTGCGGTTTAGTTGAAGCCTGTTAATGATTTCCCCATTAAGCGCCACATCCTTTAAAACAACACAGGCACCTATCGGTGGAAAGACAATTAATTTACTCTTTTTAGGTTAAAGATTAGGTTAAATTCTAATGTATATTCATCAGCAATATTGAGTAGACCTTCCAAGGCATGTCTATTAGGGACAAGGAGGGCAATGTTATCAGCATAAGAAACAGCTCGAACGTGTGAATGATCAATATGACAACCAAGCCTGCTACGCTTACACCGAGCAAGAAATTCATCGACATAAACAGTTAACAATATTGGAGATAACACACCACCTTGCTTTACCCCACTGGATACATCAAAGGTTTCAGTAGTTACATTTCCCTATTTAATGCGAATTTTCTGATTCAAATACGAACTAAGAAAAAATCTGACAATAAGAGGACATATTCCCCGAGTTATAAGCAATCTGAACAATTTAATATAATTCACTCTGTCAAAGGCTCTACTTGCATCCAGTAGTGAGTACTGGAAGTGTGAATTATGAGTAATGGAAATAAACCGATTTTTGAACCAGTTATGTGACGTTATGTAAACAGAGGGACAACGATTTCACTGTTTGCGACTTTTAGAAAGATAATACTTTAATATGCGTGATGTCATAGGCCAACTTAATCCTCTAATCTAAGGTCCCCTTTTAATCAATATTTATTCATGAATTACAAATAATACATTACATAATATATAAGCAATGGTTTCAGAAACAAGTCGAAACTTATATTAATCAATTATCATTTAATACAGTTTTCAAATTTATGGTTACAAGATATACAATATCTGATTAAAAGTTATAAGTAAGTGTTGTGCATTTCTATTTTTTGTAATAATCTTAAGATATTGTTTAAACTTTGTGAACTCTCTTAAACATTTCTCTTATAACAATTCATGCCATGAAAGTAAATTATTTTCTTTACATAATGTAAGCTTACATTTATATGTAATGTGGGGGGGGGGGGGGGGTGCTCTGGGTGGGAAATTGAAAAGAGGAAAACACTAGGGGATGAACTTGTAAAAAGAGGAAAACTGTGCTGTTGTATAAACATTTATTGATTTATCTTTTGAAAACATTCTAAAAGTGTCACATATAGCGCACCATATTTTTTTATTACTAATAACGCGATTCACCAGTCCCTTATACTCGGTTGTATTCGGGTTGTCATTCGAGTTGATCCATCTAATAAGTATTTATTTTGATATTTATGTTAATTCTATATGCATAAGATTATCAGGAGTACAAATGCAAGCAAGGATTTTATCATGTCACATTTATTTTATAATCGTAAGCATATTCCTAGGATTGCGCACGTGGAACTCTTTACTCGATTCACTGTTCTTTAAAAGTCTGGTTAATCGTGTCTCGATTGTTATGGCATGGCGTCATTTGTTTTAAGAATTGTTTGCCATGGCTAAGATGTCATTGCTTTACAGTTATTTTACCACTACCTACTACCATTAAACACTGTGAATAAAATATCATCTATATTGACATTCTATCTTGATGGTTTTTGGGTGTGCGTTAACCTGCCGTTGGCGCTA